TTAAAAATACAACAAGGCAGTGCGAAGATATGGCGATTCAAAGTTCGAAAAAAATCTATTTTTAGTAACAAAATGGCGGATTTTTCAGAATTTTAAGCGGCATATCTTTGCACTGCTTTGGTGTATTTTCAATGTTTTTACAGTTCTGAGATCCTTATAGGACAATCTCTTCAAAAAAGTTCCTAGCGTGTTCTTAGTTCGTGTTTAATTTTTTGGCGCCAAAGTTGGCACGTCATTTTCCTGCCAAAGTGTAACAAAATCGAAAAACAAAAACGGTAGGATTTTTAGGAATGGCAAGTTCTATCCTGTGAGGAAGTTTCGTGATATTCCAAACTAATGACAGAAAGTTATTTGTATGTGGCCAAATTTGCTGTCTTTTGTGTCAGCCGAAGGGTTTCTGAAGAAATGCAAAAAGCTTCGTTCATGAAAGACGCTGGTATGACGACGGACGTATGTACATGTTTAAAGAAGCTTTCCTTGTTTCTGCAAAAACAAGATTGCAACATTGCAGATTGTCAAGGTGTCGTTAAATCTACAATTGATGGCTTGGAGAAACTGAAAACAGAGTAGGTTTAATTAATTTATATATGTAATGTGTTTAACCTGGTCATGCAGCTTGCAAATAGAAATGATTAATTCTAATATTAACACGTTTAGACCCGGTCCTAAATTAGCTGAATTGTTGCAAGCGGAAGTTTTCCACGGTGTACAGATTGCAAATCAGCTGCATGAAGATACAACATTGGCCCAATTCAATGCTATCATAGCTGCGCTCCAAACTGCAATTAAGTCCAGAATCAGACCATCTGAACTGGATTGGCTTCCTGAATCTGCACAATTGGCCAGTCAAAGGATGGAGAGGCAAGCAATTGAATTTCACTAGTCTAGACTTTTAATTAATAATTATTCAGTCCTAACTCCAGTCACTCCCAAGCAGCATTATTATTACCCATTACAAAACAATGACCTTGTTTTATTTTTTTGTAGATTATGGTGATGCAGAAGTGACCAAGCTTCTCAACCACTTCCATCCATATTTATCTGCTGTTTGTGAAGAAGTGGAAGACTTTGCTGGTGAAGCTTTGATGGAGTGGGATGATCTTAAGTCACAAATCTATGCACAGTGGGTCTAACTCTTTCCTTCAGCAGAAAACGTCCTTTTTAGGCTTTCATACCTTTGTTGACCTGCTCCTCACCATTCCTGCGCACTTATCAGAGTGAAATAGGGTTTTCACTGTTACCGACCTAATCAGAATTGCTCTACACTCTGCTGACATCAAAGAGTTCTGTCCAGACCAGGCTGTTCATCAGTGGAAAAAGGCATCCATATGAGGTCGGCGACCAAATCAAAGGGTTTGGAAGAAGAAAGTGAGAGGAGCCTGCAGATCCAAAATTCTAACTCTGCCTCATATGAATCAGATGCTGATGATGTTTTAATAGTGATACAGAAAGTGAACAATCGGATGAGGAACTGGGGCACACTGTGGCAGCTTCATAGGTACCGGTACCACATGACTTCCTAGCAATGTTTGATTCTGACTCTGCAGAGTCAGATTTCGATGGGTTTTAAATGCGACTATACTGTATGTGCACCATGAAATGACACACATTTTAAATATACTCAACTCATTAACGCCCAATGCGCCCTGAGATTGACAAGTGGTAACGGACAATGCACCCTCAAATGACACCTCGACTTGTGGGCATATTTGAGCATGTGTTTATCGGGTTGCCTAGCAACGGATACGAAAATAGAACGTGAAATTCGAGCTTTTCAATGGTGTATCATGCAAGAAAATCGGTCAGAAACTCTCAAAGTTTTTCAAGTCTAAAACCTTCGTTTTTCAAAAATAATGAACAATGGCGATACTGTTACAAAGAAGGATTTTACAGCAAGTT